ACAAAGCAACCTTGAATTCTCCTCCAAATAATTCTTACACCATATCTTCCATTTCCTATCCTTCTGCTTCAGGCCCGTCCTGGAACAATAACCATAATGTAATTTTTTATATTCAAAATTTGGCTCCCATCAGTTACCAAATGCTAAATTCTAATTTAGTAAAAGAACTTGAAGCCAGTAAAACCAAACAATGGCCAGCGGACATGAATCATAGATGAAAACAGTTAAACATTACTGGTTGATGCTAGTAGCATTGGATATATATTCTGACTTCCGCTTACCTTGAAGGCAAAGCATTCCCTTCATTTTGCTGATCAACTTGAGAGGGTCCGCTGCGCTCTGTGCTCATGACATCCTTTGTGCTCCCATCGTGATCAGATTTTGGATCACTACCAACCAAGAGAAACAAATCAGTCACATCTAACAAAAAATATCGTAGGAATCAAACAAATTGTTTTCTAAAAAGCAAAAAAAATACACAAAAAGAGGATATGGGCACAAACATTGGCAGCTCTTTGTGTGATTTGGACTCTTTCTCCTCAGAAGCTTTCTCTTGGTCTTGATCTTGACAAGTGCCATTTTTTCCAGAAATGGCATGGCATTGAAGGGCGATCGAGGGAAATTGCTTCGGACACCGCAGAGGCGAGTGGCTTTCTGAGCTTCTCAAGCTCATCAATAAGGGCAGAGACAGCACTCTTGGACTGCAAGAGTTGTCCCTGTTCTTTGTTGAGAGGCTTGCCCTAGGCAAGAAGCTCTTCCATCTGGAGGATTCGGTTGAATTTCTTGCGATGGTTTCGGAGGCGTTTGTTGATGAGGCTGAGCACAGGGCCACCAACAAAAGTGGTAACAGTGACATCAATGGATGATCCGCTGCTGTCTGTGCTCACAACATCAGATTTGATGTTTGCACTCCCTTTATTGTGATCTGATGTCAAATCACTACCAACCAAGAGAACTAAATCTGTTTATCAAATCATGGAAGCATTTCCTCCACTCCACCACAGTGACTGCGGTGGATTACTAAACATCTTTGATTTTTTTGCAGTTTTAGGGCTTAACTTAGGGTTGTATTATTTTGTATCTGTTACCCTTATTTTGATAATTCTAACTGAGCCATAACTCAACAATCCCAGCAGCAATCACTCCAATTTCTAACAACAATATAGTTAAATCGAGCCAAAAAAAAAAAAAAGTTGCAAGACAACAGGTAAATTCTTCAAGTTTGAGGAATACAATGAAGCAAATGCATAGATTACGGATAGATAGTGAAGGATTTGGCGTTAAGGTTTCAACATATTGATGATGTGAGAACAAATTACGGCAATCAAACAAGACGAAAAAAAGAAAGAGTGTGATACCTACGACACGAGATGGAGGTTGTCATTGAGAGTCAAGAGGCGGACAAACTGGCAATTCGTAGAGCGTTCAGTAGGGAGACTCCAGAGGAAAAAAAACCTAGAGCATTTTGGTTTCTGGCCGGAGCCTGGAAAAGTTAATTCTGAATTCCGATCTACTTTTCAATACGTGTGTCTTTATGGTTGTAATCCGAATTTACATTTTTGTCCATTCGACGGAGATTAGTCCATATATCAATCGTAACCGCCCAAAAAAAAAAAAAGCAAGCAGGAGAGATCCGAGAGAACTAAATTGTTTTATTAAAATATTATAAAAAATAAAATAATTTCATTTTTATTTTAAAAATTATAATATTTTAATTTATTTTAATAAAAATTTATTAAAAT